TCGGGGGAGCCGCGCAGCACCACCGCCCCCACTCGTGGTACCCAACTCCCGGGAGGAGACCGAGGACAGGAGGGGGTCTGCCACACCCCATCCCCGCCACCAACCCGGCCCTGATTTCACCCCGCGAATAGCAACACCTTCCAACATTCAACTGCCCAGTCCTTAGCCCCCACCCCGCCCTCAGTCCCAAAAATTAAGCCTCTGAAAATTCTGCCTGAACTCAACCCTCCCCTTGAAAACACATACATACATACATACACACACACACACACACACACACACACCCCCTCTCTTACCTCCACAAACTTCACCCGCTCCCCTCCCCCATCCCCTCTTCTAGGCCTGTCATAAGGCTCAGTAATTGCTGATGGAATAAATCCCACACCCCTGAACCCAGCTCCCCAACACTCATCTCCCCAGACGGCCAAGGGATTCTGGGCTCCCCTTCCCCTCCTCTCTGCAGAACCTTCCTCCCTCCATAATCCAGCCCTTCCCCAGAAATCAGTCCCTCTCCTCCTCAAAGTCCCTAAATTCCACCCAGCTCCCCCAGACAGGGAAGGGAGCAGCTACACTCTCCTCCAACCTACACCGGCCACCCATGTTCTCCTAGGGTTCCATATTCAACCTCGATTCTGCGCCCCCTAATCCGCCTGCATTCTGCCCACGAATCTGCTCAAGATTCTACTCCACACACCCCACTTTCGGCCTGTATTCCATCACCCCAGACTTCACCTGGATTCTGTTCCCTCCCAGATTGTATGTAACCCCCCACCCCACCCGCACACACATTTTCCACCTCTCTGCCCTTTCTGAAGAACCCACTCTGAACAACCCCCCCACCACCACTTCTGGGATTCCCGGGCCCGGAGCTCCCCCCTCTCCTCCCGCCGCCAACCCCGTCCCTCTACCTGCAAGCCTCCCTCCTCGCTTTGGGACGAGTGGCCCATCCTGGTCGCTGATTCCACTGCAGTGCCAAGTCTCTCCTAGCTCCTCTTCTCGGCCTCAGCCTCCTGACCCCGCATCCCAGCGGTGCCTTCGAGGCCCCGCCCCCGCCAACCCGTGACGTCACCACCCCAACCCTGCGCGCGCTGTGTGGACACCCCAGCGCCCCACTCCGGCCCACACACCTGACCCCAGTTCTCGGGCTTCACGACACCACGGCTCCAGCACACGAACTCCCAATTTTCCAGCCCCCAGCTGTGTCCCTCTCATCATTCCCCACGGTGACCCCTTCTGCTTTCCACTGTTACATCACCGCCCCTGGCTCCTCCTCCCAAATTGCTCTCCCGCATAGCTCAGATTTCACACCCCAGGGCCAGAGCTGTGAACGCTCCACGCCCGGCTCCCCAGAGACAAATCCACATCACCACCTCCCACACCCTACATGGGCAAATCACCACCCCTGGCAGCCCCCACCTGATGGCTGGTTTCTCACTCTGCACCCCCCCACTACATACTCCCGCCCAGCCATGACCTAGCTGGGCTCTCCAACACAGGAACCCCCATCCCACCCCCCTCCACACACACACACACACACACACACACACACACACACACACACACACGTGCCTGGCCTGGATGCCCCTCCTGCCCCTGTTCTAAGCTCACCTCCCCACCACGTGGGGGAATTTGAGCTGGACAGGATCCCCCGGAATACAGACCAAAGCCTTTAACAATATCCCCATGGAATGCATAGACACAAAAGCCCTTCAGGGAACCACACAATGCAGACTTCCAGTGTCCAGACCCAGCCACACCCCCCCCACTATCCCACAAACGCTTTTTGCCTTAGATAAGGATCATGCACACTTATCGACCCAATGACTCGCCCTTAAGTCTGCTCTCTGGAAGGTACAACCATCCCGTTTTACAGAGGATGAAACTGAGGCTTGCGTAGGATCCCACAGAGAAGGACAGGAACATTCATCCCCCTACTCATTACCCAGCTGCCCTTCCCTGACCACCTTCCGCCTCCTCCCAGC